CATGAAAACTGATATTCCTTATCACACTTTCATTTTGTGCATTCCTCATGAGATCAAATACGTGCATATGGCTAAAATGAGTGACAATACACATCTTTTAACAGGGAAATGACAATGTAAACATGGGTGAGCTTGGGTGAGCTTGATCTGTGTCGAAAGCCCCAAGTGATGCAGACGTTTCTCTGTTTAGTGAAGACTTTGAGAGCGGATAGGGTTGCATAGAAACATGATCTGAGTGGATCGGGATTCGAACCCCCGATCGCTGGTTTCTGGCGTCTCAGACGATTGGAGTACCCGTGCCCTCAAGCTTGAACAAATACCTGAGCCAAGCTGACTTTTTTTTGTAAAAGATTGAGTTGAATATATGCCGAAACAAGCTCCAGGAAACCTATAACATCAGCCATTTCAAATTATGCCAGCATCAGCACTACATTGTCATAACCACATCGTTTGGGCGTTGGAGTTCTGATTTGTGCTCAGCCTCCGGTACAAACCGGAAGTGATCTCACACTTTTGTCCTTAAAACTGCTTCTGGCCATTATATCAAAATGCAGTGCTATGTGTCTTTATGTAATATATTAACGTAGTTGACATCTGCCTGGAAACGGAAGGTCTTTTCTTCATAGTTCTGTTTATGAAAACGTGATCTAAATGTTCGTAGCCCTTGCTCCTTCATGGCCATGACACTTGTATAACAGTTTATGTATTCAGATCTGTTTGGATGTCACTCAACAGAAAACTGTCTGACTATGAAGAACAGACCAGACTCCGAGATGTCTTTCACTGCCGGCCACTCGCTTGTTTCTATGTCAATCTTAAGTACATCCAGGTGTCTCTTAAAAGAAAAACAAGCACGTTTCAGATTACAATCATAGCATTATTTCCAACCTCCAAGCGATAGACTTGAGAATGAAAACACCTAATAAGTATGAAGAAAACATGCAAGATGATTTCATTACCTACATTTATCACATAATCGATTGCGTTATCGATGCTTAAAACCAATCAACTGAGCAAAAACATCACCCTTCAGGAACGAATTGTGAGCCCCATACATCGATGCAATTCATGTATTATTGTTCAATAAGTTATGAGGTTATACGTTATAAGTGCATAACGTCACGCATATTTCCCTCGAATGCTTTGCATAAGTGCGACTAACGGGGTCGAGTGATCAGGCTAGCCGACTTTGTTGGCACATGCCATCGTATGTCAGTTACGTAGATCGATGCTCATGAGGTTGATCACTAGATTATTTATAGATTGTTGAATGTGGCGTTAAACAACAAAAAACAACCGATCCCTTTTTTTTATCTCGACCTTCTGAAAAAGCTGCCGTGGGCTGGAGTTGTTGCCCTTGGGCGTCCAGAGCTGCGGTGACCGACATTTAGGTGTTTGTATCGGTCCGACGGTTTGCTTATGACAAACTGACAACCATTCAGCGTTTTAGCTAAAAGGTCTCACGTGTACCTACGTGCAACATGGCGGTGCAACGTAAACGTTCAGCATACAGTCGTTAGTGACATGGCAAATCTGGCATATAACCCCTTCCACTTGTTTGGGAGCTTGGTGTCTTGCCACTTGACTGACATAAATCACTTACGGTCGATAACTGTCATATGGAGTTGTAAATATTTCGCATTACCAGCGGTTCGACACAAATGTAAATGCCGACTAAAGATGCAGTATGCCGGGAGCAAACTTTTATTTCGAAACAAACGGACGTTCGACATATGAAGGTTCCACACATCGGTGTTTACTTTACTTTCCAGATTGATCTGAAGACAAAATATCCCCCTGTTGTTATGGATGGTGTTCACTGTTGTAACAACAGTTATCTCCCCTAGATCAGAGATCAGTATTGTAGCAGTCAAGTTTGGAATTTACATGTATCTCCTAGCATCTCCATGATGGTCTTGAGGCGTCTGATCTTCCATGTCGTTGTCTTTTTAACGTATATGTCCTTAGTAGGAACATAAGTGTCGCTGAAAGTGGACATTCTCGCTTCTGTCGAAGGGCTCTAGCCCGATAATAAACAAATGATTTGTCGTTAAATTTAAAGACGTTCTTTCAGCAAGGGCGGATACAGGATTTTGAGAAAGGGCGGCGCACACTTTTTTCACTTTCATCCGTTTTCACGAGAGATTCAATGGTCATTTAATAAACTGTTTGGACAAAAGGGGGCTGCGCACCCTGCACCCACCCTCTGGATTCGCCTATGTACAGTAGCAACCCCCTCGCTGAATACGTGACATTTAAAGACGTTTTGGAAAGTCAGCATCTCGTGTCCAATACTAAACAAATAGTTTGTCATTGACATGAAAGGCATTCTTACCGTAGCAAACCCCCTTTCTGAATAACACGTTTCGGAAAGTCCGCAGAATGACTTACACATAGAACATGTAGTTTGCACAGACGTTCAGAACTCATTTTATAATTAGAGTGAATGAGAGGATGAGTTCATAAAACTGCGAGAAACAACGCTTGTAGTCCCAATGTTACTTTAATTTGTGCTGCAAACCTATTTTCCTAAAACTGAGCTCCTGATCGGGATAATTGATTGACAATATGTGAATTACTATTCTACATAAACCTTCGAAGAGGTATCATATCCATTGACCATTTTATGAAACTCTGAGAAAAAAATGTTTATCATATCAGTGATGTTGTTTTACAAGTTAAGAAATAGACCACAAAAATAAACATTTAAGGTAATACAAGTGAGTGAGTGAGTATGGTTTTACGCCGCTTTTAGCAATATTCCAGCAATATTACGGCGGGTGACACCAGAGATGGGCTTCACACATTGTACCCATGTGGGGAATCGAGCCCGGGTCTTCGGCTTGACGAGCGAACGATTTAACCACTAGGCTACCCCCACCGCCCCTAACGTTATACAAAGAAAGCTAAGCCAACATATTATTTCATGGCATGGGTATGGGTAGATCTTTACATTCCATTCTCATTTACAAATCATCTTTACAAAAATATACTCATGATATAGTCACAATTGTACAAGCGACATTTCTTGTGGATGGCAAATAGAAAATCTCACCCAAGTGTCTACTGATATCAATTATATCAACACGAGTTGATAAAGTTACAAATATCCGAGGCTTGCCGAGGATATTTTTACCTTTATCAACGAGTGTTGATATAATTGATATCAGTAGACACGAGGGTGAGATTCTATTTATCATTAAAACTCATTCTTCATTTGTTTTCAATGAAAAATGTACATCTCTCAACACTGTACTTCCATTAGACTTGCAGTGCAGCGATGTCATAGCATTGTGACGTCATCAAGTTGGTGCACACACTGTGCCATCTATCCGAGTGATCTGATTGGTTGAAAAGCGGGGGAAGCCCCTTCGTACGGGATTCCTTGTCTATTTTTAGTAACCCAAGTTAATATCGTATTTATTAGAAAGCTCTTTTGTAGTCAATCATGTGACGGTATTTTGACCAATCGTGGTACAGGAAAAATACTACCTATATAATAAAGGGTTTTATCGCGTTTAAATATACACTCTTCAAAAAAAGAAACGCAAAATGAAATTCAAGAATGATACTTACAATTTTGTACACATATGTAAACTCAAACATTTTTTTAGGGTTGCACATTGTTTCTGGAATGTTTTAGAAGATCATGCTTGACCAAACGCAACCAAAAATGATTTTGAACGGTTTTATCAATCAGGATTGTCATGATGTGCGTGGATGTCATGCGGCACGAATATCAGGCACAATGATTGTTTCTCACGTGCAAAGCATGAGTACAGCATGTGACTATAAAAGACCCAAATGAATCTCACAATTTCATCCACGATCTTTACAAGTACTGTACACGACAATGGGACGTCTCAACGCTGCCGATCGAAATCAGGCAATTGGACGATTGCAAGCTGGCGAATCAAAGAGTGAGGTGGCAAGGATCTTCAACGTTCATCCCAGCACAATAACTCGATTGTGGGATCGATTTCGTCAAACAAATTCGACAAATGACCGTCCAAGATCAGGAAGACCTAGAGTCACCACACCTACCCAAGATCGATACATCTGGGTAACCCACCAACGTGACCGCCATCGTACTGCCCGGGACACAGCACAAGAACAGTTTGGAGCCCGAAGAGTGTCCGATCAGACAATCAGGAACCGTCTCCGAGAAGTAGGAATACGTGCCAAACGTCCAAAAGTTGCCCCCTCCTTGACACGACTACATCGACGTCGACGAGTGAGATGGTGTAACACGGTGCTGCCATGGACCCTGGCAAACATGGACCCTGGCAAACTGGAGATCGGAACTTGTGCTTGTCCAAGGCAATCTGACGGCCAATCGATACGTCGACCAGATTCTCCGTCCGCACGTTCTTTACTTTGTTGACCGTCAACGGCAGCTCTTCCAGCAGGACAACGCAAGGCCCCACACAACACGTGCCACGGTGGACTACCTGGCCATTAACAACATCAATACCCTCCCCTGGCCCTCCAGATCCCCGGATCTAAACCCAATCGAACACCTTTGGGATCAGATCGATAGACGGGTACGTCGACGTCGTATTCCACCACAGAATCTTCAACAGTTGTTCCACATGCTGCAGGAGGAATGGAGAAGGATTCCACAACAAAACATCCAACAACTGATTCGATCTGTACCCAGGAGGTGTCGGGCAGTGGTAGCATCTGGAGGTGGTCATACGAGGTACTGACTTCAACACTACCTGGTGGACAGCAGTAATGACTGTGATGACTGTTATTCTCATGAAATATGGACAAGATAGCAATGCATTGCTCCACAAAATTTCACTCATGTATCTTTGTTTTCCGCTGATCTACACGTCCTTGAATAACACCAAATTTTCATTGATATTTGGGGTTTGCGTTTCTTTTTTTGAAGAGTGTATAATCATTCATTTTTAAGAATGCGTTCTCCATTCCTCTCCTTTCTACAGAACAACAATAACGTTTTGTGTCACCAACGTGTCGCCCTTTACCTACCACTTCAAGAGAGACGAGGCTTGCCACCACGCTGTAATCCGTAAAGGATCCTTGACATTTTGCGTCTGTAACGACAGTCAAAATATGTTGATAAATATGAACGTTTTCAGTGATCTCCTAATCCAGATTCTACTCAAGTAGCATTTATTCCTCGAAAGAACATATGAAGCATACATATAAGTTCATGGTGCCAAGTTGCTTTGACTAATAATATCTGTTTTCCATTTGCACTTATAAAATTAGGTATTAAAACACTTAGCCTTCTATGGTCAATAGCCAGATGAAGAGCTAAAGGACTATATTCATCATGCTTGAAGCCACAATATACTCGTGATCTTCATTACTGTTGAAAATTCAAACTAAATTCTAACCCAACTTCTCAAGTTGCTTTGACATTATACATCAGTAGTGCTGTTGGTTCTTTATCAAACTAATTATATATACACTCAAACACCGTTGTGTCGGAGTTGAAGGGACATTCGTTAATGACAACTGTAAAAATGAACTGCATTGTCGCTTTAACGTTAAACACCCTTAGTGCACACTTTGCGCTTGTTTCATTAATTTGATGTACGTCGTTTTGTCAAAGTTGAAGGGACCCTCACAAATATTTCGAGTTATCCGAGGTTCGAAAAGGCACAATGAGCACTGTAGAAAGAACACGCAAGCGTTTACTTCGAGACAACTTTACGTTCGACACGAAGGTGTTTGCCTGCACTTATTGATGTCTGTAGTTTATTTGTTACTGGATGAAGTATGTAAGGACAAACTTTATGGATGAACAGCTTCTTTATTCGGATCCATAAAGATCCATTCGGATCCATAAAGTTTGTTTTTATGTGATTCACCAACCTCTAAACATGCAACTCAAAGAAGTGGGATGAAGTATGTCTTATATGATTAATACAATGACAGATGACCTAATTTATGAATATTATTAGAATTAATATGAAGACATTTCTGTCAACAGTGTGTCAATATTGGCTCCCCTGATTCGCTTGATGTTAAGAAATGCCGTGTATCATCGACAAGAAATACAACATTACAATGTCTGTAATACATTAGAATAGAGTCGATGTTGTTATTGCTGCATGATAAGTCTGTGTGAGCTCGTGTTGCAATCAGCTAAGTATATTTCGCAAACGCAAAGTGACTCAGCTCATAGGGTCTGGGTTTGTCCAGACACATGTTGTGCCTCATTAGTGTCGACAGTATCTTTACCACGTGTGTCCTCCAGTTGATTATGAAGTCCTTCAACACGTCATTCAACTTCCTTCCCATCCATTTCCATCTGTATTGTGATAAAGGCTGTCTCAAGACTTTTCACAGATTCCAAAACCTCGTTAAGTGTGTTTCCTAGCTGTAGATTCCTGGCACTGTCTTCCACTGTCGGCCATCTCTGTGATTTCTCTGTGCCTGGCGTGTTAATAAAAGCACAGATATATACTGAGTAAAAAAAGAAACTTCACATTTTTTCTTCAGGGCACTATAAAAGAAAAAGAGATGGTAAGATGGTTAAATTGTTATTATTTCATTGCTGAGATCTGTGTGATGTACTCGATACACTGACAGTGCCATAATCAGTTCCATTAGGTTACACAGCCGTTCCAAAACATGGGTATACAGAATGTCAAGTCACAAGAATAAAAATGCGAAATTTTTCAGTTCAATATCGTGTATGGTTCCTAAGACCACGAAGCCTTCTCCCAAGTGCATCCCAAACGTGCTCTACTGGATTAAGGTCAGGGGACCTCGATGGCCAGTCCATGACGTTGATTCCAGCGGTTTGAAGGAAATTTCGTGTCAACATCGCGGTATGCGGCCGAGCATTATCATGCTGGAACTGTAGACCTGGGCCATGAGCCGCCATGAAAGGAACGAGTTCAGGGGTGAGCACCTGGTCGCGGTGAGCAGCAGCTGTGAGGTTTCCGAGGATGACCAGAAGTCGGGAACGGTTGTTCCCACAGAAAGCACCCCACACCATGCAACTTCCGCCCCCGAATCTGTCGACTTCCTGTACACAAGAATGGGCATACCGTTCACGACGTCGTCTCCAGACTCTATGCCTGCTGTCCGCGAATCTGAGGGTAAACCTGGATTCATCGCTAAAGACGACTCGATTCCAGTCTCTCTGGGTCCATCGGAGATGACGTTGGGCCCACAGCAGACGTTGACGTTGATGAAACGGCGTCAATATTGGCCCACGATATGGACGTCGAGAATGGAGATTGGCAGCCCACAACCGATTTCGAATGGTCTGTGAGGACAGTCGACCTCTAAACATCTCAGCCCTGGTTCGTGTAGCCGGCAGAAATCTGTCACGTAGGTGAGGTAGGACGATTTGACGGTCTTCTGCTCGTGACGTCACACGTGGACGACCCGACCTTGGGCGATCAGAAGTGGTGCCAGTTTGTTGTAGACGACCTCGCAAGTCATACACAGTACGACGGCTGCATCCCATTGCTCTTGCGACGTCAATAACTAATCTTCCCGCTTGCAACATGCCAACGGCACGTTCACGTTGCACATTTGACAATCGTGGCATTTCAAGTACCGTTAGAACTGTGGTTTAAAAGTGTTTTTTCAATTCTTGATGCCAATGCAAACACGTGCATATGACGGAAACTTCGATGCGAAGATCACGTGATCGACTGCACGTGCAAAACCTGATTTGGCACCAACATCATTTGCACGACGAATGGATGGGTTTGAGTGGGTTTTGCTAACGTTTTTTCTAGAGTCGAAAGATAGGGATCCCATTTCGGATACATAGATGTATCATCAGAGAAAACTTATTCATTATTTTTCAAATTACATTTTGTGAAGTTTCTTTTTTGACTCAGTATATTTACTAACTTGACCCCCGTACGTACGGATTAGTAAATTAAAGGAAACATCTTTAAAATTCATTTAGAACTTACGTCCAACAAGAAATATTGATTGATAAAACGCATCACGTGAAGCCCATAGCAACTGAACTGTAATTTTTTTTTTATAAATCGCTGTGGATATCACTGTAAAATAAGTTAATCCTGCGATACTTTTCTCCAATTAACAAAACTATCGACCTCCTTGTTACATACCAAATCCAACAGAATTGTAAGCAAAACTTCGTCAGCTGTAGGCTAATAAGGCGTGGCCTTAGTGAAATAATAATATTGCACTTGTGAAATCTTCAGATACGAAATTTGTGTACAGAATAGAATTTGGGTTTAAAATGCAAATAACGGTAGCTTGTACATATGCGCTCGTGGGTTTCACTAAACTGATCCAACGTGTGCATCGTCACCAAAAACCAACAACCACGTCCTCGCAACTTTGCATCTCCCCCTGATACATATTTTAAGACATTTACGTAACTTAAATCGTCATATTTATTTTGTATTTTATGATCAGCTCTGTGATTTAAAAAGGTCGATGAAAAAATAGTTACTGTGATAGTCTACTTTCTGCCGAAGATCCAGCAGATGGAGTTAGATTACTGCAGCAGGTTCTTGTTTCAATTGCAAGTATTTTTGCAGTTATTATTTTCATTCAGTGTTTTTGCATGAGTAGAATATTCTTCACACACCACTTGAACAGCTTGTCGAGATATTGTTCGTGTTTCTTGATCTCATAGTGACAATGTCACAGTTAAAGGTCGCCTGCCCCGTTAATATATTGATCAATAGTTTAATTTTGACACACTTAACAAGACATTTGTGGATAACTATCAAATAGTGATCATACCAAGTGTTCTCGAAATTTTGCCCCTCATGCACATGCAAAACTAGTCAACTGTTCACCTGAAAAACCGTGGGAAGACATGACACCAGTTAGAATAGGGAATTCCATCAGACAGCATTTGTGTCACTGATGGTCAAATGCGGAAATCTTCACCATACGTCTACCGATCGAACAGTTTTCTGAAACCTTTACTAGGGTCTCGCATGTAACATATGTTATATTTGGAATTACACTTTCTTGGTAAAGTACAAATATACTACTTTTGTTGGGTTGAGTCCCATCCGGGATTCGAACCCACACCCTCAGAGTCAGGCACCTAATCTACCTAGGACGTAACATAAACCGGATGGCGGTTGGCCCCAAATGGCTAATGCAATATAAAGTGTTTAATGTTTTAAAAGCTTTACACACATGTTACCAGGATGTGTGTTTCGTCCTGGTGTGCGGTTTGTTGCGCCATTAGTTATTTGAGTTGTGGCATGAGACAGGGATGCGTGCTGTCACCAATGCTGTAACTAGTTTAATTTTCGTACAAATGGTTTGCTACGTATTACAATATTGTAATATTATGTATAACATTCTCGCTACGCTTTTCGTTCAGACTGATGATGCAGTTACTCTTTCGACAACTGCACCGAATTACTTGTTTTATAATTAATTTTCGATTTGTATTAAATATTGACACGGAAAAGTAACAAGACGTATATGTTTTAAAAAAAACATGCATAGGACAGATGAAGTCTGTTTTACTGTCGTGATAATGTGATAATGTTATCACAGCACCTTGCTCTGAACTTACTTCCTTATCGCAGTCATTCTTACTGTTAATTTCCTTCAGACAGGTTGGAGATACCTTGACCCCTCTTCCAATATCTACCCCCGTCGCATGCTTCACTTGATAACATTAAGCAACTGTTCCATAAATGTACACATGGGCGTTAACCCATTAACCCACTGTCTAATCCAATATGAGTCAAACAGACATGTTGGTCATTAATCGGTTAATGCCACTGCCTAGCTGGAACATTAAATAAATATTTTTGTAAAAGGGTTGCCATGGTAGCAACATTTGTCTATATAAACAACTATATTTTACCCCATTCTCAAGAAAGTGCTGCACATGACACTTGGAAGCAGACAGGGAGGCAGGAAGTCAGATTCATTTTCATTTGAAGAATATGAGTCACCAATCCATGCTGTTAGCATCTGATTGCCACATGCCGTCAGATTTTCAGTTAGCAACTTTATAGCATCTGATTGCCACATGCCGCCAGATTTTCAGTTAGCATCTTTATAGCATCTGATTGCCACATGCCGTCAGATTTTCAGTTAGCATC